ACATATGGCACACACACACACACACACACGGATTAAAGAACACACACACAGATGAACACACATGCCCATGATTTTAATTTAATCTCTATATTATGAATGCTGTAAAACAAACACCATAAAATAAATGCACAGTTTAATAACTTGGATCAGTGAAGTTATACTAATTCACTAGAGCGTGCAGACACACACACACACACTTACACACACTCCTCCATTGCCTCACCTCTGTAGCACATAGTTAGCCACAGCAGCTCCAGCACCTGACCCCCAAACTCACACACGTCCAATCCCAGCATGGTGCCTCTCTGCGGGGGCTGCACTCTGTGCGACGGCTGGCAGAAGAAGAACCACAGAACCCAGGGGAACCTCCACAGGTAGCAACAAAGTAGCAGAGGCAGGGACGGATTAATGAGAAGAGCATCCACCAAAAGAAGTACTGGATTGGAAAGATAAGGGGGTCAGACGAGGAATCTCCTCCTCAGAGGAAATCTGGAAAAAAAAATGTGTAGTTGGAGGGGTTGAAGGGGTTGAAGGGGAAGAGGAAAAGGGCTCGCGTGAGAGAGACAGAGGCAGAGAGGCAGGGAGGGTATCCTTGGGTGTGGGTGTGGATGTGATGGGGATGTGTGTGAGCAAGAGAGGGAGAGAGAGATAGAGAGAGAGGATGGAGGGAGGGAGGGCGAGGGAGGAAGCCGGCTTTCTACACTTCTTCTTCTCCTCCTTTGTAAACTGGAGCAACAAAGGAAGAAATCTAAAGGCTAAAATGCTGTCAGCTGTTTGTTTTTTTTCTTTTTGCATGCAGCACCGAGGATGCTGGGAGCTAACGGTGGCAGGCAGACGCTGGTTTAGCCGGCAGAGCTGTCTGCAGCAGCAGCATGGGTGTGTGTGTGTGTGTGTGTGTGTGTGTGTGTGTTTGTGTGGTACTCAGACGCTGGCTATCGATTCGCAGACAAGCAGCGAACCCCTCCCCTCCTTCTCCTCCTCCTCCTCCTCCTCCTCCTCCTCATGTCATCAGCCCAGAGACTGCAATGAGCTCATCCTTTACCCCCTCCCTCTTTCTCTCTTTCCCTCCCTCATTCACTCTTCCTCGCCTTCCACACCTCATTCCTTCTCACGCACCCCCCCCCAACTCTTTCATGCTTTTATTTTCCTCTTCATTTTTCATCACTTTTATGAATTCTTGTGTGGTGTCCACTCTCTCCTTCCACCTATTCATCACTGTGTTAAGCCATCTCTCTCTGTGTCTCTATTTATCTTACCCCCCCCCCCCCT